TTTCAACTATATTTTGTTAATAAAATCAACCCTCCGTCTACAATAACGTTTAATCCCAATAAAAACTGTAGTTTTCTGTTACAAAGACGANAAAACGTTTCAAATATTGTAAACTATTTATACTTCCTCTAACGACTATTCAATATAAAATACAATATTTTAATCTACTCGATTTCTANCTACAAGCTAAAAANAAAAANAATNATATTATTTCAAACTAATNGATTCTNCCTACAAGGTAAAAACATACAATATCTAATGTTATAACGTATTATATACAAAAACTAAGTATAGTTTACAATATATACAAAAAATGTTTCCGCACATATTGCGGGTGAGAATATAGTATGAAGAATATTAGAGATTGCTCTATAAGATTTAAAGTTGTAGCTAGCGAACCTCCTTTGTCGGGTCCCTAAATAAACCTGGGTCTGCGATTGCAAAAGAAACTCCTTGATTGTAACAAGGACAAGGAAAAAGACAAAAGCCAAAGTATGTTAAATTCGGTCCCACTTGATCTAAAGCAGGATATACTGACTAGATTGCCTGCCAAGTTCCGATGCGTCCAAGATGTGGTCTTCCATCATCCCAAGCCCTCAATTCGTCCCTTCTTTCTTCTCTATCTCCTCAACAAGACCACGTTTTGTAGTTGCTTTGACTCGATTGAGGAGCGCCTTGTCTTCCTCTTCTCGAACGAAGAAGGCGAGTCTTCTTCTTTGGTACCAAATTTCGACATGGCATTACCTTGCGTGGGATTTAGTAGCCCCATAGGGTCTCGTACTTCTTCTCTCCATGGCTTTCTCGCTGTTGACGCTTCAGGTGGGTTAATGATATGTAACCCTTCCGCTGAGCAAATCGTCAACTTACCCGATCCCGCCAGATATGTGGGATACGATGATCAACACAAATCACCATCCATGTCCTTGAGTATTCCATTTGGACCAGCTGATACTCCTCGAGTGCACAAGGTGTTAACAATTGGACAAGTTAGAGGATGTAGACATACTGAACCTCCCTCTACCATCATGCCTTATTATACTCCCGCACCAGTGGCAGTAAGCATTGACGGTTTTGTCTACTATGGTGCACATAGCCCAAAACGACCTATGGATCCAGCTATTGTGTGTTTTGATGTCAGATCCGAGAAGCTAAGTTATATCAAAGCACCTCCGGTTATCCTGCATGATGGGACTGATTCAATAATTATAGAATACAAAGGGAAGCTAGCTTCCATTGTGCCAAACCAAACATTAGAGGTCCCTCGTATTCAACACCAAGAAGTTTCTTGGCCCAGCTCCCTACAATTAAATATTTAAATTGCAACCAATGCCGTTATAAAAAGCATTGCGGCGAAAGAAAACATTCAAAATGAATATATGAGATGACAGAAACTTTATAAATTCGTGATATCGAAAATTAAAAGGCAAGTGGTTCATGATGACAGAAACTTCTTCTTGTACCTGGACAAAATTAGTCAGTGCCATAAATGTCAATCGAAGCCAATGAGGATCAGAGGATTCTTTGTCATGTTCACGAGCAACGTCGATGATGGACCTCATGAAACGTTTGATAAGATTATTATTCAGCATGGCTCTGTTTGCCAACATGCCAACAATCATTGACGCACCAGCCTAGAAATGGATAAAAAATGCATACCAGATTGAATTACAAAATAGATTGAAGATCAAAAGCAAAACTATTTGAAGAACAAAATTCCGGAAACGAACCTGCCGATCTAAACATACTTTCACGCCAGATGGAAGACCAGCGTCTACAAAAGGCAAAATATGCTTTACAATATCTCCATCAACAGTTGTAACCGAACCAAGAAGCTCAACCACCACTGCTTTGGAGAAGCTAACCACGGGCTTTGATGGCTTATATTTTTTACTACGAGATGCCTACAAAGTAACCAAGAAATAATATGTTCAGTTAAATAGAACGATTCAGGAACCTCGTTAGTGGGAAAAACAAAAATTAGCAGTTACTTGCATAGTCACATAAGGTCTCCAAAACCTGCATATCACGTATACATTGCTGAACAATAACTGATCTAGGGGGTGGAGCACCTGATTTTTTCACACCATCCAAAAATTTCCACTTGCTATTTGATTAACTGTGATCAAATAACGAGGAAATCAGAGCCGAAGTTCCCAAAACTATTTGATAAACTGTGTGACTTAACTTCAAGAGGGAAATAAGTAATCATGCTCACCCAGTTGAAAGCAGTTGAACATTACGGACAAATGCATGTGTGTCGTGGTAAGGCAAAGCACATAAAACTACATCTTCTACATTGTATATATTAATCCTGTCAAATCCAGCAGCTAGGACAGTTTGATGAACAGACAAAAGGTGAAGGTGCATAGCCAACTCCAAAAGAGCACAGAGAATAAGGAGACGCATACTCGTATCTTCGTATCAGATACTCAGACAGGAACCGCATA